TACCGTCTAGCACCGGCAGAAATGCAGGAATTGTCCAGCCACCTGAACGAGCTTCTAAGTAAAGGATTCATCAGGCCGAGCTTCTCACCTTGGGGAGCACCGGTTATGTTCGTAAAGAAGAGAGACGGATCTTTTCGCATGTTCATCGATTACTGGGAACTGAACAAGCTCACGATCAAACCACCGATATCCCTTACCACGCATAGATAATCTGTTCGACCAACTACAAGGAGCGAGCTACTTCTCAAAGAACGATTTAAGATTTGGGTATCACCAACTGCGAGTCCTAGAAGGAGACATTCCCAAAACAACATTCCGAACTCGCTATGGTCACTACGAGTTTGTAGTGATGCCCTTTGGATTGACAAACGCACCGGCGGTGTTCATGGACTTGATGAACCGAGTATGTCGTCCTTTCCTGGACAAATTTGTGATCTTGTTCATAGATGATATACTCATCTATTCAAGGAGCAAGGAAGAACATATCCAACACCTCCGACAGGTCTTGGAAACATTAAGGACAGAGAAGCTATACGCAAAATTCTCAAAGTGCGAATTTTGGATTCGGAAAGTAGATTTCCTAGGACACGTGGTCAGCAAGAAGGGGATACACGTGGACCCTTCCAAAATCAAGGCAATCGAGAACTGGACGACTCCAAGGACTCCAACGGAAATCCGACAATTCTTGGGCATCGCCGGGTATTACCGCAGGTTCGTACAAAACTTCTGGAAGATTGCTAAGCCACTTACCACCCCGACTCAGAAGGGTGTAACCTTCAGCTGGGGAGAAAAACAAGACGTTGCGTTGCAAACATTGAAGCGAGCTCTGTGCAGCGCACCAATATTATCTTTGCCAGAAGGAATAGAAGACTTTGTGGTCTACTGTGATGCGTCAAACCAGGGACTTGGATGTGTCCTAATGCAACGAGGGAAGGTCATCGCATACGCCTCAAGACAACTCAAGACGCACGAGGTCAACTATACCACGCACGATCTCGAACTAGGAGCAGTCGTTTTCGCTCTAAAGATCTGGAGACACTATCTCTACGGCACAAGATGTACAATCTTCACAGATCATAAAAGCCTTCAACACATCCTCAATCAAAATGAACTCAACATGAGACAAAGGCGGTGGGTAGAACTACTAAACGATTACGAATGCGAAATTCGTTATCATCCCGGAAAAGCTAATGTAGTAGCAGATGCCCTCAGCCGAAAGGAATACTCGGGCCGCCGAGTGAATTCTTTAACCATGACGATCCATTCACACCTGTCCACACAAATCAAGGAAGCTCAAATAGAAGCCTTGAAATCCGAAAAATGTGGCGAATGAAGCCTTAAGAGGAATGGATAAGAATCTTGAAGTCAAGGATGACGGAGTTCGTTACTTATTGATTCGGATCTGGACGCCGAAGTTTGGCGGATGTTGTCATGAATGAAGCCCATAAGACTCCATACTCCGTACATCCCGGTTCAGATAAGATGTATCTGGATCTCAAGAAACTGTATTGGTGGCCAAACATGAAAGCCGAAATTGCTACCTATGTAGGAAAATGTATGACTTGCGCCAAAGTCAAGGTAGAGTACCAAAAGCCCTCAGGATTGTTGCAACAACCGGAAATACCCGAGTGGAAGTGGGAGCGGATAAACATGGATTTTATAACCAAGTTACCCAAGACAGCGGGTGGACTTGACACCATCTGGGTGATCGTCGACAGGTTAACCAAATCCGCGCACTTCCTACCAATAAAGGAAACGGATAAGCTGGAGAAACTAACTAGAACATACATCAGGGAGATTGTACGACTGCATGGTGTACCAATATCCATTATCTCGGACCGAGATAGTAGATTCACCTCGAGGTTCTGGCAGTCACTACAAAAATCTCTAGGAACGAGGCTAGACATGAGTACCGCCTACCAGCCGCAGACCGACGGTCAGAGTGAAAGAACCATTCAAACCTAGGAAGATATGCTAAGGGCTTGTGTGATCGATTTTGGTAAAGCTTGGGATACCCATTTACCATTGGTTGAGTTCTCGTACAACAATAGCTATCACACTAGCATAAAGGTTGCTCCATTTGAAGCCCTCTATGGCCGCAAGTGCAGATCACCTCTGTGCTGGGCTGAAGTGGGTGACACGCAACTTGCTAGATGTCAAGTACCCGACAACACTCTCACTGGCCCGGAAATCATAAGGGAACTACAGAGAAGATTGTCCAAATCCGCGAACGATTAAAGGCTTCAAGAGACAGACAAAAGAGTTATGCGGATAAAAGACGGAAACCCTTGGAATTCCAGGTTGGGGACCGGGTTCTATTGAAAGTCTCCCCCTGGAAGGGATTAATACGTTTTGGAAAATGGGGGAAACTCAACCCTAGGTATATCGGACCATTCGAGATCCTTTCCAGGATCGGCCTGGTGGCATACAAACTTCGATTACCGCAGGAACTCAACAACGTACACCCTCCCTTTCACGTATCGAACCTAAAGAAGTGCTTATCCGATGAGACCCTCGTCATTCCGCTGGGCGAAATTGAAATCGACGAGAGTCTCCACTTCATGGAAGAGCCTGTAGAAATCATGGACCGGGAAGTTAAAAGAACTAAACAAAGTCGCATACCCATTGTGAAGGTCCGTTGGAATGCAAAGCGAGGACCTGAATACACCTGGGAGCACGAGGATCAGATGAAACAAAAGTACCCTCATCTTTTTCCTAGTCCATAAACTCTATCTTAGATTAAATTTCGGGACGAAATTCCCTCTAACGGGGGGATGATGTGATAACCCGATATTTCAAATCCATGTAATGTTCAAAGTCAAATGTTAAATCTATTTTGGAAATCAATAAAAACAGCGTCAAAAATGAAGTATTCTAAAGACTCGATTGGGTTGCATAAAATGTTAGATATACTGTCAAGGTTTCCAAATATATAAAGAACACTCAAAACCGAGTTATAACGAAGAAGTTATGACTAATCGAAGATTCACAACAAAACCGGTAAAACACTGCCAAGTGTAAAAAGTGAAATTTCAATAAAATACTTTTTAGCCTTAGGCATCTAAACGAAAGTCGTAAATTATGTTAAATCATAAATGTGCATAAAAAGAACGCCCAAATCTGACTTTGTATGACGAAATTATTATTTTTCTAAGTTTCAGATCTAGTAGTAGACAACTAAAAACTCGAAATAGAGATCGAGCGATTTTTAGTCGACGCAACCTAAACGGGAATTGAAGGTCTCAACGATAGTAGTACAACGGTAAAAAGACAGACGAAAACGGACGTCAGATGTAGAAGATATGAATTTTTAATGGATTTTTCTTGTCCCGACCTACTAAAAATATAACATTAAAAACTTAAATCAAAATTAGCCGACGGAGTCTAAACGAAAGTTGTAGAGCACAATCTCACCTATGCGTGGATATAAATAACGTCGAAATTGGAGCTCGTATGCGAGAGATATGAATTTATGAAGTTCGGGGCACGCACACCAACCTTATCCGAAGACTCACGACGTGAGCAAGAGACTCACGACGTGAGTCTATGACTGATGTGTGCCAGAGCTAGACCACCAGTTGTCGCGTCTACGGGCCAAACTCACGACGTGAGCCATACCATGCTCACGACGTGAGTCCCGAAAGTTCACCCTATAAATAAGATGCGAGGGTTCCGACTTTCCTTTCTCATTTCACTCTTCTCTCTCACTTCTACTCTCCTGTTAGCACCCCGAGACGACCCCGACACCCCGGTTACGTACCCGAGTCCCGACGAAGGTCCGAAGCTCCGAGATTCCCGAGAAATTCACCACTTTCCGGTCGAAGTGCCGCCCGGGAAAATCGCGTTTTCTTCAAATCACCACACTTTTCAGGTGAGTTCATACCCCTACATTTTCACGTCTTTTTCATGTTTTAGGGGGGGGGGGGGGAAATACAAGTGAAACACGAGATAAACTCACACTTAAAATACACGTCGTTAGATATGTTTTCAAATACTTTATTTAGATTTTGTTTATGAATGTTAAACAACATTAATACCAACGTTACACTTCACATGCAAAGTTGATATTACACCAAGTTTTTATCATCAAATGGAACACACTTTCGAAAAACTATAATGGGTATAGTTGCGAGTTATTCATTGCATCTTTACATAAACACTGTAAAAGGAAATACTTTCACATGAACTTTTCATTCCGTAAATCTTTTGATACTATGTTTTGTGAGACACTCATCTTCAACGTACTCTCGAGTATGCATTTCAAGTCCTGTATTATAAACCATAATCTCTTGGAGGGAGAGTGTGATACTTGTGTATAGATCTATACGGGATTGACAATCCCGCACCTAAACTGTTAGCTACAGTTAGACCGGCAGGTCTGGGGTGACAAATGTCATAACACTGCAACGCCTGAAGAAGGTTGTTACAGGCAGTCTGGGTCAATATCATGGTTATAAAACTCACATGGTGTATAAAAATATCTTCGGTTTACGAGACCCTTAAATGCATTCAGTAATTACAATTATATATGCATAAAAATCCGCTTTTACCATTTTAGCATGAAAGATACTATAGTATTTCAGTCTTTGCAAACTTTTTCAAACTACCACACATACATGGAAAATATTGGATTTTCTGGAGAACACGTTCAATTATTTTTACCAAAAGACATACAATCTTTGGAACAAAAACGCTTATGAACTCACCAACTTAATTGTTAACACTTTTTCAAAACTACTTGTATTTCTCAGGAAATCAGTAATCCAGGTAACCATCAGCTTTTGGAGAAGGAACTCTAAGGCGTCCGATATCAAAACATTTTAAATCATCATATTTGTAATACTCTTTTGAAACATGTATTATATGCAACAATGTAACTTTTTATTATATTTATGATGGTTGTGTTTACTTTCTTTACGAATATTCAACTGTTATGATACTACGTGAAGTCATTCGCCCCCGAATGTTTCCGCCATTGTGGTTTGGGGGTGTGACACTTCCTAAATGTAAGAACTGATGAAAAGTTGAAGATGAGAAAACACAGGCTCGTACTTCTCCTTTTCTCTTAACAAAATATTGAATATCACCATCCAGTCATGGGGATTTAAGCAAGGCAGATCTGCGAGAGTGAATTCGCAGGCTTGACATGCAGATCCTCTCGCAACTTTAAACTTCGCATTAGGGAAGCTTTCAGTCTCGAATGGCCCAGTAACCTTCACAACTACAATCTTGCTCGCACCCCAAGTCTCGAACTGGGGCTTCATATGCTTCAAGTAGAAGGCAAACAACAGTTGATCTGCAGTGCTGTCTGAGAAAGGTGCATTAGCAACCTTTATAAAGGCACGAAACCTGAACGCCTTTGGTGTGATAGGAAGGTCTAACTGCGAATCCTGTGTATTTTGGACATCAAAGGAAGCAATAGGATCCAACCAATACTGACTTGGCATATCCACAACTTGGTTTTGCATGCGCTTCAGGGTCCACTTTGGAAATAATAGCATTTTGCTTTTAAGAGTGGCCTGAGCTTCCTCAGCCTCCTTGACGATACAAGCACTTTCATCCAACTCTGCTTCACAAGCCTTTCACCTTTTAAGCTTAGCTTCATCAAGCTCTTCATCTTCGTCATTGTCAATAATGGGTTCATTACTGAATAACTTTTCTTTGTTCTTTGGATTTAGCTTGATGACAGGAGGTTTAACTGAAACTTTTGGGTTTTCATCAGTTTTGGAACTACCTTCTCCCCCTTGTTTCGGACAAGACAGCGGCGTCGAAACACCCTCCAAATGGTGCAACATTGCGAACACCGGTCTTAGATTTTTAGCCAGATGCTTTCGTACTGTGATGGAAATCATGGGATAACGGGTCTCAATGATATCAGAAAGCAGTTCATTAACATCAGAGATACAACTTCTCATGACTGCTTTCTCTGCTAGCAAATCATCGACCTTCTTTTCAGTGTAGTGAATTTTGGTCTTCACTCTGAGATGGAGTAGGAGTGGGAGACTTTTGCCTTCTAGCGGGTTGCTTCCTTCGCTTTGGTGCAGCAGTAGAGGTAGTGGGATCCTTTCGCTTCTTAGATGGAGTTTTCGCAGTCTCAGAAGTTCCTTCTTTCGTAGAGTCTTTCTTAGAAGGTTTCTTTGACCCTTTGCCCCCTTTCTTGGGTTTATCCGCCTCAGCCAAAATGGCTTGAAATTCATCAGTTAAAGGATGAGGGCCTGAAGGAGTAAGAGTGTGATATCCTTCTAGAATTTTACTCGAGGGAGAAACATCACGAAACATCGCTTCTGGAATTGAGCAAATGAAAGAAAACTTGGACTTATCTGCCATAATAATACCAGTTGTATGGAATGTCGCAATGGAAGCCATCAGTGCATCAGTCATCACAGTAATTTTGAGCTGATTAATGGCCCTGTTTACAACAACGGTCCAAAATCGCGCACAGGAGATCTTACTGTGACGAGTAACAGAGTGAGTGCTCTGGATGAATTGAGCGCAGAGGATAGAACCATAGTCTATGTTTTCACCAGTATATAGGCCATACATCAAACCCATGAAGAGCTTGCTTGCACAGTCGTTGCCTGTGACCCTTTCAGAAAAGGCTTTGAACAAGATGGTGAAAAGGGCATTCCAAGTTGGTGGAAGATTGGGTTTCTTGAACTTGGAGACATCAGTGATTGTTTCCCTGTACCCCATTTGATAGAACATTTCCCAGATGGCTGCATTGAGATGGTTTCCGGATTGACCAGATTGTCAGACTGTGGGAGCCCTAGCAGATTACAGAAACGGGTCTTGGAAATCGAGGTTCTGTGATTATGGATATCGAAGTAAATATGTTGCTCGTCCTTGACATAGTTGGCAGTAGTATATGCTTTAGAGAGAATCGAGAGAGGAACATTCTCAACTTGAGACATAGAAATGGTAAGAGGAGAGTATTTCAAGCACTTAATCAGACGTTGAAGAAAGGCATCATATTTTACCGGATCCAAATCGATGATGAGATTTTGATGTTGCTTCACTGAAAGAAGAGTTGAATGAGCAGTTTGATCGTGAACAGACTGATTCTCAGATGAAGCCGCCATTGATGAAGCTTTGAAGAAGATGAACAGTAGAGAGCCTATTAATCGCTAGAAATCTTTGAGATAATTTTGAAAGTGGTAATGAAATAATGAACCGTCAAAATCCTTTTATATGATTTGATTTGGTGAGAAAAATCCGGAGAGAGTATCTCGAATACTGAACTGTCGCCTGGAAAAGCGCGATTTGACAGCTATGACAAGTCAGAGGTTTGCGTCACGCGGCGTAAGAATAGCTGTCCGTTCAACTTTACACGCGTCTGTTTGAATTTTGATCTTTTGAAAATTTGTCGCGTCAGCCTATCTACTTTCGTAGTAAAGAAATCACGTTGAGTACATACGATTGCGAACCTGAAAGTGAGTTGTAACCACGAACACGACTTTTGAAAATCACAAGGATCTTCGTGCAAGAGTGTCAAAGAAAAAGAAATAAAACAAAGTTTATCTGTGGGATGTTGTGATGTCTTACATGTGACATAAAACTATTGATCCCTGACAAAGATCTCTTTCTTCATAGTCAAGAGAGACTAAGAAATGTTTATTTGGATTCTTGTTGAATACGATCAGTTGTTTGATGAGAAACACTGAAAGGAATCTCTTGCGTAAGGCTTATAAAGGTGGTTTATCCGTTAACCAAACTACGAACTTAACATAAGTGCGAAAGTTGGAAAAGGTACTCTTGTGACCAGTGTAGTCAGTTGAACGAGTAGGTTGGGAATTTATTTTCAGTGACTTGGAACAATATTAAAATCTTAAAAAAAATAAACTAGATCTTTTTGGGTAGAAAAGCCTTGGTGTTAGACAAGTTCATAAAGATCACTCAAAATAAAAAAATTCATGGTACCTGCCACGAAAGTGGTTTCGTTAATACTTGGGTGAAAACTAGAACATTTGATTGTTCACCGTCAATTCATTGTGGGTATTGAATTTTGGGTTTCACTCAGTTTGTGGTTGAACGAGACTAAGATCATTAACACAGATTTTTGTATAACCATAAACCTCAGTGGTAATTTCTGAGAGTCTCAAGGGTTACATTAATGAATGTGAAAGTGATGGAGAAGAGAGTATATGGTTACAAGAAAGCGAAAGTACCTTTGCACTGTGAATGTGACCATGCAGATAACTCTTAACTCAATGTGAGAAGAGTAAGGTAGCTCATGACTGATATGAATTCGCAGCCTGATTGGGAAGAATTGATTGGTGGCATCAACTCATTAAGGCATCATAGTCGAGTCGTTGAGGCTTAGGTCAACATACAACAGCATGCTTCTAGGGACACTTAGCTAGTACATAAGTAACGAGATTCATACCTGCCCTATCACATGAGTGGATGGAGTTTGCGAACGTCTTCATCTATGATCTTGGTGTGCAAAGAAAATGAACACAAAGTAAATTTTTTAATTAAAAAACATTAAAATAAAGTACATAAATTATTTTTGGTTTTGGAGTCTTTCTGAAAATGAAAAAAAATAAAATTAAAAATAGACGTTAATGAACAGTAGGAGACGTGAGATAAGGAATTCGATTCACAGTGATAAGCAATTTTGAAAATAGAGATAAGATAAGGAATTCGAACATGGAGATAAGCAAAAGATACACAAAATATACAAAAGGAGACGTGAGATACCAAACCACGAATGAACAATGCCCTGCGAACTACTGCGAACGTTTGCATTGATTCGCATCGATAAAATAGACTGTTAATGAACAGTGGACTGTGAAAGCCTGCGAACGTTCGCACTGATTCGTAGTGAAGATTTTATGAAGGCGATAGTGGATTTGCTACTGAATCAGCTTCCATCATTCCCAGTCCTTGAAGGATTCGATTAAATGTTGCTTCAGGTAGGGCCTTGGTGAATATGTCAGCCAATTGATCAGCGGATCGTACGAACTGAATCTCAACATTGCCATCTTCCACGTGATCCTTGATAAAGTGATACCTCAGTGCTATGTGTTTCGTTTTTGAGTGTTGCACTGGGTTGTGACATGCGAATGGCACTTTCGGAGTCACAATAGAGAGTAATTCTTTTCATGTTCAAGCCATAGTCGCGAAGTTGGCTTTGAATCCAAATGACTTTAGATGTGCACGAAGCTGCAACTATGTATTCAGCCTCAGCTGTTGACAACGAAACGCATGTTTGTTTCTTTGATTGCCAACTCACCAGCTTGCCATCGAGAAATTGGCATCCACCAGTTGTTCTTTTTCTATCTAAACCGCAACCGCCTAAATCAGCATCTGAAAATGCTTGTACAAAGAAACCTGAGTTTGTAGGATACCAAATTCCAAGAGATGACGTTCGTTTTAGATAACGGAAAATATTCTTGACAGCCACCATATGAGGTTCGCGTGGATTTGCTTGGAACCTAGCACAATAACAAACTGAAAACATGATATCTGGTCTACTAGCTGTTAGATACATGAGTGAACCAATCATCTGACGATAAAGGGCCATATCAGCAGCTGGTTTATCCAGCGAAGGAATCAATTTCGTTCCAAATGCCATTGGAACCTTCGTCTTTGAGTCTCCCATCATTCCAAACTTAGCGAGTAAGGTTTTCGTGTAAGCCTCCTGATTGATGAAAATTCCTTCCGGTCCCTGTCTAATGTTTAATCCAAGAAAAAAATTAATTGGACCCATTGAGCTCATCTCAAATTTAGTTTCCATCAGCTTTTGGAACTCAGCTGTTAGGCTGGGATTAGTAGATCCGAAGATGATGTCATCAACATAAATTTGTATGATCATCAAGTGGTCACCCTCTTTCTTGCGAAAGAAGGTTGGGTCAACTGAACCTTGCTTGAATTTGGACATTTTAAGAAAACGAGTTAGTGTTTCATACCAGGCTCTTGGAGCTTGCTCTAAACCGTAAACCGCTTTGTCAAGAATGTAACAGTGGTTGGGATATTTTTCATTTATAAACCCAGACAGTTGCTCCACATAAACGGTCTTTTTCAGTTCGCCATTTAAGAATGCACACTTCACATCCATTTGAAAAACTTCAAAGTTTTTGTGTGCTGCATACGCTAAGAAGATGCGAACGGATTCCAATCTTGCAACGGGTGCGAAAGTCTCTTCGTAGTCAATCTCTTCTTCCTGGAAATAACCTTTGACCACTAGTCTAGCTTTGTTTTGGATCATGTTTCCTTCTTTATCCATTTTATTCCGAAACACCCATTTTAAACCAACAACCGATGCATCTGGAGGAGTTGGAATTAGTCTCCAAACTTTGTTTCGCTCAAACTCATTGAGTTCATCTTGCATTTCTTACACCCAATCGGAGTGATCGAGAGCAGAGTTGTAGGTTTTGGGTTCAATCTTGGACATGAACGAATTAAACATACAAAATTCTACTTTGGAGAATAACGCAGTTTGTTTCGCTTTCAGTTGAGAACGAGT